CACATACACATACACATGCATGCATACATACATATGTATAAACACGTACTGTACATGCATACACAAGGTGTGTAAGATGTGTATACGTATGTCAGGTATACAAATAAGCATGTATATGTGTTTGTACACAAACATGCGTGTAATGTGCATGTGTACATATGCCATTTATGCATGCATGCATGGATGTATGTATGTCTGCACCTGCATGCACACAAGTGCATGTTAGTTCATATGTACATGTTTTGTGCAAACGAAAACAAGTAAGCAAGGAAATGTACATGCATGCACGGATGCATGTGTTGTGCATCTGCATATGTAAGCTCTTGTTTATGTCCGTGCGTCAGCCTGCTTGCCTGCCTGCCTGCCTGCCTGCCTGCCTGCCTGCCTGCCTGCCTGCCGGGCTGGCTGTCCGTCCGTGCGTCCGTCCATCGGTCTATCTGTCTATCTGTCTGTCTCGGTCTGTCTGCCTGTCTGTCTGTCGGTCTGTCTGTCTGTTTGTCTGTCTGTCTGGCTCTGCCTATCTGCAAGTCTTTAAGGAACTGAAAGTACCAGGATATACTTATATATAAGGTAGGGTGATGCAAAGTAATGTGGAAGAAGCATGCAAGCATGGATGGATTGATGGTTTGATACATACCATCTTACGAGCATGTCCTGTACGCTATGCAAGCTGGTGCAGGCGCGATATGGCACTGGTGACGTGCCTGGCTGTGGACGCTCGGACTTCCAACCTGGGCAGCCCGGAGTAAAGAGGTGCAAACTTCAACTGCATCAAAACACAAGCTGTCAGACTTTCGATACATGGCTCCTTGAAACTAACAGAACGGTATAGGCTTTGGACGGCAGAGAATTGGCCAAGCACCGCGATGACCTTCGCTTCGGAGTTAGGCTTGTCACTATGCGAATTGCTTGTTCATCTCTCTGGCCTTGTTCACCAAGAAAAGGCCTTCCACCATGATGACGGTGATCGACTGTTCCAGCAGCGACAGTTTCCAGCTATCTACTCGCATGAGCATCGGTGCATGGTGCACTATCCCTGGTTGCAGCTGACATTGCATGCAGCCACTGATCAAAGGAAACATCTTCTTTGAGGCCGGACTCCTGAACCACTTTGTAGAATCTGCCAGTCATCCTGCTTCTGACGTCTTTTAACTGAATCACAAACGAGCTTTGCGCCCACGAGACCTTCTGTGAAGACTCGACAACCCATTTCGCCAGCCCGGCTCGAGAGAGCTCGCAAGGCTCTCTACCACAGCAGCCCTCTCCTTCAACCTGTGCTCTTTGCATCTGGCCGGCCTGCTCATCACCCCACAGAACTACCTCCGCTTTGACTCCAGGAGGTATGGGCTCTTCCTCGGCAAGCAATCCGCTAGATAGATAGATAGATAGATATTGGTCAAAATGACACTTATCTGGGAACGACGCGCACGTATAATATAACACGTATGTATGTATATGTATATGAATATGTATATGAATATGCATATGCATATGGATATGTATATGTATATGTATATGTATATGTATATGTATATGTATATGTATATGTATATGTATATGTTAATGTTATATATATATGTGCATGTGTATGTGTATGTGTATGTATAATATATATATATATATGTATATGTATATGTATATATATATGTATAAATGCAAACGTGCATACATGCAGTATACATGCAGTATACGCAGTACGTACGTCGTATATACATACAGGTTTGAAAACAAGCCATGATTTCCATCGCCATAGATCTGGGAGCAGCCTTCTGCAGCTGTTCTAAACCTGCTTTCGGACTATGGCGCCTCATGAGTTTCTGTATTTCTGTCTTTAAGTCCGAACTCCTTCCAACAGATCTCATGCATTGCTGTTGTGAGAAACTGTTGCGGCCTACTGCCTTCCAGTCACACTTCAGCTTTTGCGGAGTCTTTGGCGAAGCTTTCGCGCACTCCACTGCAAAAAAAATAAAAAAACAATCCTGAGCCCAAACTTACAAGCCATGGCCACTCACTACCACGACAACCCCTTAGGCTCCGCAGGTCCCTTCACTCCATGTTGCACCGTATGAGCTCCCAACAGCCTTACAGATCGAACTCCAGGCCCGTGACTTGAACGAGTCAATCCAAGTACTGAGGACTCGTTCAAGTTAGATGTTCGCCATGCAGAAGGTACGACGACAGGCCCGGAGTTTAAATCTGGAAGGGCTGGGGGCTCAAACAATGCAAGGGTGCAGGAACTCATTCTCCGAATGGTTTACAGTAAGGCTCACGGCTTACAAGCATGGACACAGCTCAAAAAAGCGGCTTCAGGGCTCGCGTGCTTCTTTGAGACTCAGTCGATTGAAGATGCTAGGGTAGAACATAATTGAATCCTGTAGTATGTTATCGCGTGTTGATACAACTTTCGCGCACAACTGCTGTCCTTTCGCACCTGCTTTAGCGGATCTTTCACAGACTCTTGAAATCCTGTCACATTGCCGGTTTTGTATAAACCGTTGACCCGGACCTTTAGAACGATAGATAGATGGATACATAGACAGACAGGCAACTGACATTTACTTTCGAGCATGTTTCACAGTTGAGTGTTTGCCGCTGCTAGCTGGGGCACAAGGCATTCGGGGAATGCACGTACTTGTTGCGGTTGTGCTCCCGACAAAGCCATCAGGGTTCGGGATTGGCCTTTGCTGCTGCTAGTTGCACTACATTCATTACCTCACTTTCCGGTTCCAGGTTCATTATGCACATGCGAATCGAAACCCGAGTAACCGGTCTTCTCCCGTCGAGAATGAGACACATCTGCGGAGATACTGGCCACAAGCCAAATGCCCAATCTGAAAGAAGCCACTCAGGACGGCGCTGCCGTTCCCATTTCGAAGATGCCCCACACCTCAACAGAGAACGATATAATCTGCTGAAGGTCGTGGTTGCATCAGTGGCCGCAGCGACTTGCCTTGACCGAGTGAGCATGCAGGGTTGTGTTCACTGTGCGGTCGAACTCGAGACGCCCTTGAACATCAAGCCAATGCCTTGGCAGAATGTCAGCGATCCGGCATGTTTTCTGGTGTCAGCGCCCTTCCGAAAAGCTTCGGACAGCTTGGGCGTCTCGATATCCAGCAGCACATTGTCGTCGGGTGGAAGAACGACATTATCCTACGAGCTGCTGATTTTCAACGAGGTTCTTGTGCGAACCCTGATGCGAGTGCCCGACCATTTCACCAGGCAGCTTGCCATCAGGCCAGCCTTCCGGATCTGACCAACGCCTAAGTTTCATGCCATCGTGTGGACTGCATGCTTCGCACGCGTTTACTTGAGGTGGCAACCTGAGTGGCCGAAGTCCTGGAAGGGGCTGTCTTGCAGCAAGAACAACGTCTGGTGGGAAGTTCTGCTACAAGTATCCTCCAGGTCCCACAACGTTCGGTTGCGGGCAGCCGCTCTTCGGGCACTCCCGAGGGAAGAACTTGTTCCTGTGATATAAGGCTGTACCATCGAAAAGAGCGTTTGCTTGAGAGCATCGGAAGGTATGTGAAGAGGCAGACCTGAAGGAGCCGCCGGGCGTGCCCTCCTGGACCTGCAGAGCGTAGGACAAAATGGGCAGACTCCGAGTTTTGCTGCTATCTGAACCGATCTACCACGGCGCACGGGGGCCTTCATTGTAAAGACTGTCGTCAAGCGACCGTGCACCATGTCCACGGTGGGTTGGCTGTCAATCTCTGCCTTTCAGGTCTTACAAGTCTCACTTGCCTGCGTGCAGAGATCTGGCTCCGCTGCGAGCACTCCAACGCATTGACACGTTCTACTGGCTACCACACATCAGCAGAGGCAATCCGCGAATCGGCTTTTTCGTCCATGCACCGATCGATCCTATAGAGGTAGTCTGTGAAGCCCACCAGTCTTTGTCAGCACCCTGTTCAAAGCATCCTATAGCACGTTCGTATCTTTCCATTACCACTAGTCAAGCAGGGTTCTTGTAAAGCAGGCGCAGTTAAGCGGAGGCCTCCAAGCAGTTTACATGGTAGAATCGGACTCAACCAAGGAAGTGCAAAAAAACCTGGCTAGATGAAACCAAATCAACGCTATGGCAAGTTTGCTTGCTCTGGCCATCGCTTCACATGTCAAAGGTTCGCTAGTAGTGTCAGCAACTCGGTATCCCCGGTATGCTGCGATCTCAGTTCTCAGCACCAGCCGTCACAGCTGGTCTTGGTTGGGTGCGAAGTTCCGTACAGTGTAAAATACATGTTGATATGAAATGAAAAATCATGATACAGCATGAGTAGGACAGGTGATCCGAGGCAGCTTGCTCTGCAACATTTAAGATACAGTGCAAGTCCCCTTCTAGATGCTTAGCCAACCGCCTTTGCGATTGCACTGCAGATTGGCTGCAGCTTTGCTGTGGCAGACGACCCAGAGTGCATACAATGGCTATCGCGGTATGAGCCGCGTCTGAAACTGTCAAGCAAAAGGCTGCCATGAGTTTGCACTCCAGGCCCCCGTTTGATGTCAAGTCTATGTGCATTTGGACAACTCTGCCTCACGGATGCAGATCTTTACTACACTTTCTGTACACTTCTTCTGGTGGCTCTTCTAGCTTCTCACTCGACGTCTTCATCGGATATTCACAATGAACCAATTCAGCACAACCCGAAGCCACAGAAGGGTTTGCTTAGTGTGAATTGTGCACTGTGCAGGGTGTCGTTGCGTACACGTCGCAACATAGGTATTGTTGCGCATGCCAAGGGCCCACAACAAGACGCCAACGCAGCTTTTCTTGCCACGGCCGCCTTGCATAAGAGGCAAAGCAAAAAGCAGCGAATTACGAAGAGCCACGCCCCGGTGGCAGGCTTTTGTCGTCCAGTCAGCATGGTCTGCTGTAGCGGGATAGCTGCCAGACAATCAACTTAAATCGGCGCTTGAAAATGGTGCTGAGGCAGTCATGGCCAGGAGTCTCAGCTGCATGGGTTCTATGACACCACCTAGTGAAGTAGGCTTGAACAGACGCCATTTTATCAGCCCAGCACCTCCGAAAACCTCTGGAACTTTCGGGAGGTGTCGGCACAGCTTCGCCGCTCCAACAAACGGCAGCAGAAGCGTGCACAGTCAAAATATTTACCTGTTAAATGTCCAGACCCACCATCTGTGAGAGCCGTGGAGCAATGACAACAGTGCCACCAGGAATTCCCACAACAGGTTTTCGCCTGCGGCATGTTTCCTTGCCTGTGGCCTTCTGGAAAGCGTCACATCACTTTGGTCCGGCCAAAGCGGAAAGCACTCGCCACTATCACCGCGCAGCCAAGGGTACAGGCCCACGGCATCGCAGCCTCAGACAGAGGCCACAGCAAGTGGTGTGAGCGCAGCTACACGTTTCCCTGACTGCTTCCTGTAGTGATCCATAGTTGCACTTTCTCCACGACCGTTGTCATTGCTCAGAGTCGGCTTAGAGGACCAAACTCAGGCTGGTGTTGAAACCACCAATGTTGCTGTTCACGATCTCAAGAGGAATCATTGATGCTGCAGTTGGTTCTCACTCTGGCCTCGTGTGAATCACTCACTGCAGCTCAAGAAGGCCCTTGATCTTGGGTGCCCGCAGTGTGCCACACCTGCCTCTGTGCCTTCTCAACCGGCTTGACGATTTCCTCGAGTCGAAGAAATGTGCAGAAGTTGCTTAGGAGCACTCACGGCGTGGTCGTGCTTGAAGTGTCATGGACTGTCCTGGAACTCCAGTTGCGTGCTGGTGGTGCTGCGAGGGGTTGATGGAATCCCGGTGGATTGCGCAGCCTTGCCAAGCCCGGCCAACATGTGCCACGGAACGCGGAAAGAACAGCGATTCAGATGTCCGCCTCCACGGATCCTTCGGACGAACGCTGCGCGAGATGCACAGCCAAGTTACGCATGTTGAAGAGGTCCTGAAAGACAAACACCGTGTCCAGCCGCGGGCACGACCCTAGGCACCTGCTTGTGGAGCAGCTGTCTCACTTGTGGGAAGTCAATCCTCAGCTGCGCAAGTGGAAGGTGGAACTAAACGCTGTTGCTCCCCTTGTCAAAAACTTCGTTACATGTCTTGGGCCCAGACTGAGAGCCGATCTGCTTGGAGGCCTTTTGGCCTGCACAGCCGCACAGCTACCTGGATTCCCAAAACTCAACGAAAGCTTCCCTGCCTTCCTCCGGCAGCGCACTGTACCAAGGTTGCCATGCCCTGGCAGGCGCCCAACAGTCCAGTCTCACAACAAGGTGGCAATGCCGACTCGATTCGAGACCATACGTCTTTGTAGCAGTCCGGTGCATGGACTCTGCGCACACAGAAGTTGAGAGAACCAGTTGCAATCAGACGCCGAGAAACGAGAAATGGAAAGAATGAGTCTAGGCAACTGAAGTCAATCTCTGTGACAGTGTGGCCTACAAAAGCTATCAACTTGCAAGGCCTCTTCTGATTCTCCCGTCGCCAAAGTCGCCACATTGCATTCTCCAGGCGTTGTACATCCAAAACGCCTCCTCGCAAGGCCGGGAGACTGATGGCCAGCTCAGATATATCTTCATGTATATGTGTTTGTATATGCGTGTATGTACACAGCCTATATATGTTTATGATTGTTTTATACCGGTAGATATATAGATGTATGTTGCATATACATATACAAGCAGCCCTCCCCAGCCTGGCGGGTTTGGAAAGGTCACGGCTCTCTTCTCCAGGCTGCGCCTGGAAAGGCCAAGTCTATCCCCAAACCCTTTTTCATAGTATGATGATTACTACTAGTAATATTATAACTAGTATTCTGATTATAGGCAGCGTGATGGTTATTACTATGGTCAGGATGAAAAAGTATCTGTATCTCTAACCTGCTTTCCATTGAACTGGGAGCCAGAGTCGGCTCACCCGAAGCACATCGAAGCCCAAAGCCCGTTTCCGTATTTAGAAGTTACGAGCTGCTGTGTTGGCAAGTGGCTGTCGGTAGTGCAATAAGTGAAGAACGCGAAACAGAACAGTCTTAAAGTGCATTCGGTTGAGGTTTGCAAACAAACAAAAAAAGGAATTCCGAAAACGACAAGCCTAAGTGTACAGCATAGCCGAAAGCACAAACGTCCCACGAACCTCGAAGAGTCGAAAAGTCAAACAACAAGATGGACAGTTCCTGGCCGGGGGTTTAGAGTTCAAAGCAGAGATGTAGCGATCAAGAGCGGCTACCGTTTGCCGTATACTCGTCTGTCGGGGGATCGACGAAACAATGAGTTCTGGGAAGCAGGGCTTTCTCGATGAATAGGATACAGAGCTTCTAAACACTTTAGCATTCAGGATCCATCAGCGCAAACGGTGTAGGGCTGGGACCCAAGTTCAGAATCAGTTCACCACGCTGAAAACTTCAAAGTCCCAACCGCTGTTGGATGCCGTGGCTCCTTCCCGTGCCCACTGGCATCTCATGTGTCAGTACGGCAAAATCGCTTCCATGACTTGTAGCTGGCGCGACTGGTGCAAAAACACAGAAGTCGAAAAGCTCAGAGCCCAAAATGCCACATGTAGGAATCTAAGTCGAAAAGTCGGAACACATCTGAAAAGTCCCGAGACGCAACGAAAGGTAGAAAAGGCCCGCGAAAGGCCAAAAGTCAGCAACAGTCAACAATTTTTCGACTCTCTGTAGGCTAGATTGGGTTTTGCGGATAGCGACATCAATCCCCACTTGTGTAGTTTGAAATGTGCCAACACAGGTGTAAATAACGAGATAAGGTTCCGACAGCATGCCAGCTTCCATTAGCATGAATGCTGGCCTGCGATATCCGGCGATGTCTCGATACCGGTAACAAGCCCTTGCAGTCTGCAGGGCAAACTGCATCCACCCTATCATTCACAAACCAAAAATAAGTTGACCAGCTTTGGTCCGGAGTGCGACACCAGTGACACTCATCTGCACCGTCAGCCCAAAGGCATACCCCACAAAGAGTTCACATCGGACAGCGGGAAGGCTGCTGTTTTGTCCCCCTCCCTCCTTATGATAGCCTGCTCTGATTCAACACTGCACCTCCCTTGCAGGTGATGCTGTGGAGATTCACCCCTACGTGTCGGCCGCTGTGCAGCATGTGCTGACTGTGGTGGATAGCGCCGCGCCGGGTAGAGGTGCTCAAGCAACTCCTCTACTTTTTGGTTATTTCCTTCTGCGGGCTCTTAGGGGGCAAGAGCCCGTGCGCAGCACGCAACCTCAACATCTAAAGCTTTCTCTCATTAGCAGATGTTCTCTTGCAACACCGGAGAGCAATGCTACACATAGTGCTGCTAAGTGCGCACCGAAGACTGACTTTCAAGTGTGCTGCGGACGACGGAACTCCAGGATTTTCACGGCTACCATGAAGCAGGAGGAACAATAACCGCTGTGACAGCATCGAGCATCAAGTTGTCGGATCCCGGATCTCCAGATTATCTGTCCATCACTCAAATGGCAAATGTCACCGTCTTTTGTCATCTGTTTTTTCCAAATTCAAAAACAAACTGCCAGAACTGCTGCACGGCCTCTTGCGGCTGATGGTTGGCCCGCCCAGCGGCTCGGGTAGGCACAACGAAACCTGCTGCAGTTCTTCCACCAACTCTTCCTCTGTGAGATGCCCAGCCGTCCCAGACCTCTCCACCGGAGTTGGACTTGGTGTTCGGGCCACGAAATTCAAGCTCCTGCCGAAAAAGTTCTCAAGCCTGAAGCACTCGAAGCACTCGAAGCACTGTTGCGGTCACGGGCATGCAAAGGTCCTTTCCAATTGCGGCTGCCGCCTTTCGCAAGCAGTCTTCGCTTGAGTCTTCAAAGGTCCTTTCGGCGAGGCAGTAGAGTTAAGTGCGCAGGAGATAGAAGGCCTGTCCTTTTGTCCTTCTGCTTGAGTCGCCAAACCTGTTTTTTACCAAAGATGGCAGGGCTGCATGCGTCTTCTGAACTGTCCCTGGTGCTAAGTCCCATGCAGCATTCTCAAAGCGCCTCAAGTTCAGTTCCTCCTTCTGGTCAACCAGAAGGCCTGGCAGAGAACAGAGCGTAGCACCCAGCAACATTTGGATGCTGAATAACATCACGGAAACAATCTGCACATTACAACCAGCAAAGTTCACAATTACAGATTATGACCCTGGCAATCTCTGTCCAACCGAGGGGCGAGAAGCCAGTGTTCATTAAAGTCATTGAAAACTGTTGAATCATTTTTTCTTGGGAGGAGCAAATTCACAACAGTGTTCCCCACGTGTCAATAGCCTGTGCCAACTCGGATGTGTCCGACTCGGCATTATCAAATTTGTAGGAATCAAACGCAGGTGCAGAGCTTCCCACAAATATCCCCCCTGATGCCTGGAGAGTCTTTCGAAGCTACTGATGCAGAGCCAAGGGAGACCTGCCTGGACCTGCGCCGTGCATTTGCAAGCAATGAACCAAACTTCACTGAGGGCGACCTGGGACAAATGAACCAAGAGCCCAGCACGGTCTCCTGGGGACATTCGAAGGAAGCTCCTGTCAAATCCCGTCAACGTCAGTATGTGCCCCGTACCCTGATTATGGACCCTACAGAGTCACGATCTTTCCTTGCGCCCAACTTTTCTGTCCAACCACGCGCCTCCCAGCAATCCAAACATGTCACCTGCTGCCACCCTACACGACGTGGCGTCTAGCTGCTAGTCTGCGATAGTCCGGCTTCTGCTCGTGCAGCACGTGGTTTGGTGACCATCTCGACGTACCTTCATGTCATCTTCATGCTGGCTTAGCCGTAACCAGCGTGACCTTTGCAACTCCTGCACATCGATGCCGCACAGATCTTCACCAACTGCGAAGCCCTCCGAGAAACGCCCACGATCGCTGCATATCACAGCATCCGGAGCTCATTTGGCTTGCACTGCGCCGAGAACACTTCTAAGGAAGTCAGAACCGTCATCCTTGTAGCGATGTGCCTCACAGAACAGACCAGATCTCTTGACAATTATTGGAGTTCGAAAGTAGCACGCGGGAACGAGTGGTGCTAGCCGGGTCGCTTCATTGGGAAGGCCTAGCTGCATGCGTGCAGCTGTGACGACCGCTGCCCATAGCTGGCCCACTGTTGCTTTCGAGAAGCACTCGAGAGCCTCACCGCTTGACAGAAACCTTCGTGGGCCAGAAAGCGAACAATTCTGTGAGCCGCACAAGTTATCACATGAGCTCCAGAAATCCCCACTCATCTCCGAGCGGCTCGAAAAGCACAGTGTCATCCCAGGGAAAATACTCAAGACCTTGTAGACCAGCCAAGCTTGCAGCCACCCACTGTACAAAAAGCTTCACCGCAGGAGATCCACCAAATGCACCGCACCCCCAGTTGCCAGTTGCACAAACTTTCCGATCGGGAAAGGATAGCCTGGCTGCACCAAAGCCACAAAGCGCTTTTCGCAGGTCTCGCATGGCATCCTCGACTTGGAACCTGACGAAAACGGCAATGCTGTGCATACCGCCTACGAGCTAAGCTAACAAAGCAAGCCAGGGAACAAATGGTCGTGTCGATACGGTGCCCCGACACCAGCCCCATCATACATCCGTGCATCAATGACGATCTGAATCACATCTTTGGAAAACGCTTCCTCATCCTGTCGCACTGCTCCAAGGCACTGAAACGTATCGAGAAAGCCTGCATGACGAGAAAAACGTCTCGCACCACGTACAAGCAGCACTTCATCATCGCTAAGCGGCGACGAAGCTGAAAGGAGTGTTGCCAAGGATAGTTCCGGATGAGTTGCGAAAATGATCTCTTCTTGAGCAGTGGCTCCAGGAGCATTCAAAAAAATGCCACCCCCAACGCTTGCATTCGCAAAGTCCACATGCATGGACGCACTCGAGTCATAGATTGGAGTCCGCAGATTCTGCACGAAGCAGTGGCACAAAGGAGCAGGGCATGTCGTCAAATCCTCCGGCATGAGCCCCAAATCATCGCAACAACGTTTGATCCAAATTTCCCCCTTAGCATCGATCGTTTCACTCACGTGGCGAAAGTACTGCAGGAAGCAGCGCAGCTTCTCTGTGTTCGGGGGGAAAGCACAACCATCTTTCGGAAAGTACAAAGGTGACATGCTTGTTGTACCCCCCTGATTCGGCAGCAGACCGAGGAACGCCAGAGCAAGAAGCGTCGCCGTCTCAGAGTAAGTAAAGGCAACCGTAGAAGGTCTGCCCTGCAACAGAATTGGTACAACCTTGTCTTTGAACTTGGGTGCCTCCTGGGCCAAGCCCACAATTCTGGGCAAAATTGAGCTGAAGAATTCTTCAGCCTCAGGAAGTTCATCCAACACAGCCTCGAAGTCAGGCCTGCCGGCCCTGACGCAATGGAAGTTGGGATCTGCAGAGATCCGTTGCAGGGCCTCTCGAAGCTGGCTGGCACTTCTGGATGACTCAACGTGTGCCAGGCCAGCAGCAACCTCCGGCCAACGCTCGTCAAAGAAAGCATCGTCAAACAGGAGGTCAGTCATCGGAATTCCGGTCGCAGGGCGGGTGGTCGAACTAATGCTTGAGAGAAAATCTTGCGGCAACACGCTGCGCACAGAAAAAGAGGTGTCCACAAAGCAGTCCTCCAGAAGTGATGGATCGTTCAAGAGGACGTCTGGCTGCCTGTTGACGTGAAACCCAGGCAATGCTCCCTCCCTCCCTCCTCTCCCCCCCTCCCCCTCCCAATACCAGGTCTAATTGCAGCTTAGGACAGGCCAATACTGGTTTGTCATGCGAAGTGATGCAGCTCGCACCACCAGACACCATGTTCCAGCCCTCGTCAAACGAAGTTCCCGGCCTCTGCATCTCTGGTCCAAACTTCAAGGCCGGCAGCACCCCAGGTCCCCATCTCTGGCACTATATCTATATATCTAAAAAAACAATTACTGGCAGCACGGCAGGGCTCAAGCCAGCCGGAAACAGAGCAAGAACGGCAAGCAACTAAACTCGAAAGTAAAGCTGGTGTGCACTTTGAGGCTTTCTTGAAGTCTCTGGTGAAAAATCCTGCGTGAAGTGTTGCCTGTTGAGCCAAAAGCAGATGGTGAAGCAAAAGTTCTCCAGGGTTCCAGTTCACAAGTAAACACACGGGGGCCTGAAGCGCATTTTAACAAAGGTTGCCAAACAACTGAAGCAGATCCCATGCCTTCAATGCCAGGCCGGTGTCATTCACGTAAACACCACCTTGGGCATTCATGGCTCTCAGCCAGATGTTGACCAGCGCCAGAAACGCACGAATGTCTTGCAATGAAATAGTTGTCTTAGAGTTTCTCCTATCTTCGTTGGTACCACTGGCTGATTACGTGGCCGCAACTTCGCTCGGCTTGATTGAGGGCGAAGGTCTTGAGCGACTCAAGAGTAAAGAATGGTGGAATTAAGCAGACAAGTAAGCCTCAATCTGCGATTTCAGTCCGTTCGCCAAGTATGACAAGCCATGACTGCGATCAAGTTGCACTTGTCCGACACCTCGTCTGTCAGGTTGAACTCATCACATTGGTCTTGCCTTAGACCAATCACTGCCGTCGTGAGCCAAGGTTGCTGGGTCCAGGGCTGGGCTGGGCCCCTGGCCATAGCATCATCGAGTGCGAACCGAATGGGTCATCTCGCGTGGGCATGCGGTCCAGCCGAAGCCTCAGAAGTTGTGACCGCAAGTGCACCAGTAGTATGAAGTATTGATCGGACCCATTGTCGCAAAGCTTTCCCTAGACATTCGTGTAGAACGTCGTCACGGCTTTCTCGCGTCACGATCTCAGGAGTAAAGATCGTTAAGAAGGCATGTAGTGCCATCAGTATCCACTGTACACTGTACAATCCTGGACTTCATCTGCATGCCACGATGTACAAGTCATTTGCTGCAGCTGCTTCTTACATTCCTCCTCGCAATAGCGCCGGTCCCGGAAAGAACTCCTGAAAAAGGTGCGAGTCCTTCCTTCAAGAGCGCGTCGAGCTTCTCAGGGGATGGAGCTACAGGGCGATGCGCTCGCTCGGCACAGCCGCTGCCTCGACCTCTTCCTGCTCGCTGTCCTCCTCGGCTCTGCAACCGCTCAGCTCAAAGTTGAAATGTCGGAAGCCTCTCCCTTCCGCCTCCGGAAGCTCGGGCATGGAGATCGGAAGGCCTCACAACCGTCTTCTGTCAGGCAACCTACTGCCTCAGTGGGGCGGTCAGGATCAGGTCAACCGGGCCTGTCTCTTCCCGTTTCCCCGTCGCCCACGCGTGCAGCTGCTGGGCAAACTCAAGGGATCGGTGGACGCCTTCTTGACCTCAGAGCTGGGAAGAGCTGAGAGCTCTGCTTAGCAACGCGGAGCAGACAGCGAATTTTTCAGAGGCTCTCAGTCAAGCTGCAGTGCACTGCCACGGTCTTCCCCTGCTGCAACGCATCCTTTCGCGGCATGTTTCGCGCAATGCAAGAGCTAGGGACAGACCCTGGTTGATCTTCTGCCAAGCTGCTAGCAGGGTCTGCCCGTACTCGTTCATGTAGCATTTGCAAGCATGCTCCATGTTTGCTTCGGTCATGGGCAGCCAATAGATTTCCACCTCTCCTCGCATTTCCACGCTCGCAGTACCAGAGCGGCGCGCGCAGTTCACGACAATGGTGCCCGGCTCTTTGTAGAAGCATCTGACAGCGTCTGCGCCGCCTTGTACTAGTCGGCCGGGACCGGGCAGCTCAAACTCCCTCACACCTCGAATCGATGGAGGCAGCATGATCCCAGCCAAGCGGAGTGATTACTGATCTGCTGGGGCTGCTGACGATGCGACACTTTGCTCATGTTGCAAAGTTCTTTTGCAGAGAAACGAACCGTGGCATACTGTGACAATCCTAGGCGCTTTCCTTGAGCCGTATGCGGCTGGAAGTGAGCTGAAACGGAAGAGCAGGTCAAGAAAGGTCGGAGCGGACTTGCATGAAACGGACCTATCTTCTGGGACGCCAGCGCTGTTGATGCATCAGCGTCATAATGATCACGCCAGTCTGTGAAGTTCACATGCACAATGATCGCTTCGTCCACGGGCGTGGTCTGGTTGTATATGTACCCCAGGCTTTCCATGACATAAGGACGGGTAGAATACAGGAAAGCCAGCTCTTGGAAATCATTTGGATCATCGACGCGCATGTCGAAGGTCTCATTCTCAAGCACGATAACCGGCCAACCACTGAGTTTCTTCGTGTCGTATGCCACTTGATCGAACCCAGCCGATGTTCGAACATTCATCAATTTTCCGTCGAGCTGCCAAGGTTGCTGCTCATTTACTAGGAGCCGTCTCACTCGCACTGAGCCGTCCGATGCACCACACATGACACCATTCACGTGCTCGTCAACAACAGAGCAAATTCCAGGGAAGTGCATGTACTCGTAGTTGAGTGATACGAACCCATTGGTGTAGCCAGTCAAAGTTCCGTCCATGTCCCAGTAGATGCCAGATTGACTGGCATAGCTGAAGGTGCGACGGGTCGAGTTGAACCACCGGATCCGTTCGTATCTCATCGTGCAGGTTGTCTCGAAGCAGCCGTGCAGCACAGCCGACTGCAAATAGTTGATGACGGTCAGTCCAGAGATATAGAAATATTCGTTGTCTTTGGGTCCTCTAACCCCAACTCCACCGCGTGAGAAAGTCGGATTTTGGTCGATGTTGCCCACCAACACCAGGTTGTGATAGAAAGGCGCCGTGTGCGGTCCGTTGCTGAGATGGTTCATGAAGTGGCCGGTACCACACTCAATGAACCTGTGATCATCGTGGAATATGTTTCCGGTACCATAGTAGAACATGCCGGTTGAGCAGCGGAAAGCCGTGAAATTTTGAAACACATTCAACGTTGGGGGGGCATGAGGTGGCTTCAAGTGCCAGCCGAATCCACTGGCATGGGCCGAGTTGTTGAAGAAGGTCAGGTCCGTCTGTGATCCTGCTGGGCCTGAGATCTTCCGCACACGCCAGCCGCGATGGCAGCCTGCAGCCAGATTGGATCGGTGCCTGGCGCAGAGAGCTTTGTGAACTACCGCTGACTCCCGCATGGCTAGGTTTGCACTCGGCCATTTCTCCATACGGGGGGCACTGGGTTTTGCACCGAAGCGAACTTCTGTGTCCTAGTCGAACTCATCAGGCGTATGTCCGAAATAAAGCATTCGCTCACTTTCTGGAATGCCATCGAGCAGAGCCATCTCTTGACCTGAGAAATGCATAACAGCTTCGATGCGTGTCCCTTGTTGAGACGAAGACGTGGTCGAAAATCGTTCACAAGAGTTCCACCCAGATGGAAAGCTGCCTGCTGCTATACATTTGTGCAGGATCTTAGCTCTTTTGCTACCGTTTATTGCAGGAGCCGAAGCCCTTGCCCTTGACCTCTGAACAAAAAGGCTTCCTTCCCAAAAGCGTTCGATATCTGTCACGTTCCAGGTTTCACCTCAACCGCAACTCTTGACCTTTCGACTGTGCGACACGCCCATGTTGAATGCAGTCGTCTTGCCTGTTCTTACTGACTCAACCTCAATGTGTTAGCAAATTAGGGACAGCAGGGCATACAGCATCTTTCTGGGAAAACAACTGGGCATCCTGCTTCCGAGCTGGAAATCGAAGATCTGCAAATTCTCCTGACTCATTCCCAAAGATCGACAAAGCTACAAGCAGGACAGCTTTGAAGCCTTTGTGCATCTAAGCAGCTGCTTGATGTTTCGGGTTGGAAGTGCCCGGAATCACACTGACATTGTGCCTTGGCCACTACACCAGCCTCCTGAGCAGTATACCAACCATAATTCTAATTCGAATGATATTAACAAACAATTAGATCATCAGTAATAATACAAAGGATATTTATCTTGGTAGTAAAGATAATAATAGTAGTAAACAGTAGTAGTAATAATAGTGATAGTAACAATAATGACAATAGTAATAATAATGATAATAATACCGATAATAGTAATACGAATACGCATGCAACAACTATAATAACAACAATAAGAATAGCAAAAATAGTAGTAGTAATAGTAATCGTAATAGCAATACCTCTAACAGTTGCAATCGTAATTGCAACAGTAATTACTAATAGTTGTAGTTATAGTAGCAATGGTAACAGTACCAACTAATAGTTGTAGTGGTGGTAGTGGTAGTGTTTGTAGTAGTAGTAGTAGTAGTAGTAGATGATGATGATGATGATAGTCGTAGTAGATGATAGTAGCAGTAGATGATAGTATGATAGTAGTAGTAGTAGTAGCAGCAGCAGCAGCAGCAGTAGTAGTAGTTGCAGCAGCAGTAGCAGTAGTAGTCGTCGTCATAGCAGCAGTAATAGTAGTCGTCGTCGTGTCGTAGTAGTAGTCAGAAGAACAGCAATACTAGAAACATAAACATAAACAATAAACATATCAATACAAAAAGGCGATAATCCGTATAAGTATAAGGATAAACTTAGTAATACTAATCCAAAAAATAAGAATAACAAGAGGAGAACCACTGTTATCATTGCCATTATCATAGAAGTCCTCACAGCTCGGGGAGCCGACTGTACTGCCCACCGCAGCAACACCTGCCCGGCCGTTTTGCCATGCCAATCCTCGGTGAACATTTCAGGGTTTCGAATTTAGGGCCATGACGCCCGATGCACTCCGTATCGTATCAAGACTCTCCGATTTGCTGTAGCGCCCCCTGTCACAGATGTCTGTTAGGAACCAGTCTTGTTTGCATGGGTCGAAGAGCACATTGCCCGCATCCAGCCTGGCTGATGATCTGCGGAGCGTAGGAGTTGCTGCCTCTCGGCGCAGCTTTTACGCATGGTACAACACGTCAGCCACGGCATGCCTGCTTCAAACCTTGGGCTGTAAGCCCACTGTAAGCTTCCCGCCCATGGAGCCATAGGCTGTGACGGCTACACCATTCCTTGCAGGGTCCCCAATTGCAAAAAGATGCAAAAAGAGAAAGACCACGCAAACGCAGGCCTGTGGCACCAGTCAACGGTCTTTCGATGGACATCTGGCACCCATGGATGATATTCCAACTGATTGGCCGCCACCTACGAGACTTCTCGTGAATGAAGGTCAAGGCGAAAATCCTCCGACAAGGCTTTCCACTAAGGGCGAGGCCGGGGCTCCTCCCAAATCAGCCAGCTCCTGGCATCGGGTGTCCGCCGTGTCCCGCCGTGTCCGCCCCATGAGGCACTGCAAAGGCAGTCCTGCATCTGCCGGGGCCCGAAATTGCTAACACCGAGGGCGCAGATCTGACCCTGCTCAAGGAGTCACAACCAAGCCATGAGTTGAGGCATCACGCGGTCTGGGGGAAGCCTTGTTCTGAAACCGCTGCAGTGCCAGCCAGGTCTCTTGCCTACACTGCTTCGGCGCACCACAGTCCTCCGGTACGAACGAAGTGAAAGACTTGAGCGACGACAGCAGATCTGCCGGCATGTACGAAGCATGCAGCCCGAGAGCCATGGCTACCTTGCCATCTGCATGCGCCATATGCAGCAAGACCAGGTCGACATACCTTAAGGCCGCACACAAACGGAGCAACTTCCCGTCCGACCAAGGAGTGGAAAACTGTGACCTCCTTTGTCGTTGTTTCTTTTGTTGTAGGCATTGTAGGGACTTCGGCGGAGTAGCTCGTAGGGCCTCTTGCTGAAGTGCGAACCGGGAGTGCTCGCCGGAGTCGTCTCGTGAGTCCTCTTGTCGATATCCCGCTTCTTGCAATGACCCTGCCGAATTCTGGAAGCCGTTTAATCCACGGTCCGACATGCTGGTTCAGGATCAGGGCGCCAGGGGAAGAAGGGGAGCTCGAGGGAAAGAAAAGGAGCCTGCCAGGCAAGGAGCCTGAGGGGTTGGGTTGGTGGGGCGCTACAGGCGACCGCAAACTTTGTCAGGTGTCGCAACTCCGGGTGCACAGGAAAGTCGCCTTGAAAAGCCCTGACAAATGCAGCGAAAGCACTCAAGACCAAGCTCGTCCAGCATTCGTGGAACCCAGGCCGTGGTCTATCAGGAAAACCACGACAAGAAGAATTCTGTCAACGGACTCAAGGCAAACACCCTCTCCCATCCGAAATCATCGGGCCAGATTTTCGTGGTGAGGAAGATCTCCTCTCTTGGAACCTAAGTGACGGCAGCGAGTCTGTTGTTCTGCCACACTCGGAGAGCGAACATATTCAAAGGATAGTATTGAGATGTTGGTTGCCCCTTGCCTGTTCCGCCGCTTTTGAGCTTGCAGCTCGATACCTTTACTTCATGGGCATCAAACAGGCCAGGGCGCTCCGCGTTCCAGGGCTTGTCGAACACCCGCACCGACTTCCTGACATTTGGTGCAAGGTTCAGGGCCCTGCTCTTCTAGAACTGAAGGCCTGCCAGGCCTGTCTGCATTTCGGCCTTTTGGGGTCGAAGCTTCCCGAGTCATTGTGATGAGTTTGTCGATTTTGGACTCTCTTTGCGCCCGTTCGTCCCTGCCCGCAGGTTGGGAGCCTTTTCCCTCGTGGCAGGCACGTGATCTTGCAGGAGCAAACCACAATCACTGACTGGGTAGCACCAACTTCTGGGGCTTGGGTGGAAGAGGACCGGGTGAGCCTTGCAAGGCACTGATACTTAGGGTAAGTTTACCGCATAAGTAAGTGAAGGGAGATCAGGATCCTAGCTTGCTTGCTGCGATGCAGGAGTTAAACCCCAACAAGGTTACAAGCATGAACCACGAAGCCACGATGCGGCCTTGTGATTGCCGTATATCTGCGCCGTATCTAGATGTCGTCCGCCTGGTCTACCGGGAACTGGATGGCCAAAGGTCAAACCACAGGTGATCTTGCGCCTTGCAAAAGGAAGTCGAGCACACCCTGTCTCGCAGCGTCACCGCCTGACTTGGCTCATTCAAAACCATATCATCCAAATCCAAGCAGTTGATGATCGCCCCACCCCGACGGACTCGTTGCAAACCTGATGTCAGAATATCTCATTGAAACATAAACATGGAAAGCAAAAGAGGTGGCAAATTATGGCTCAAATCGGCCGTCGCCGGAAGCAAACGACAGCAGGATAGCACTTGCCAGTGAGCTTTCCAACGGTCCCGTGAAGCTGAGGGTCCACACGCGCCGACGATCGACAGCACATGCCAACTCCAGACATAGGCCTCACTGCACCCCCCCGCACATGCAAGACATGCACGCGAGCTGTTGCTGGCATCGGAGTTCACAGCCGAGAGAGGAACATCCTTCCACCCTGTCCAAGAAGTGGCAGCGTGGGAACGGAGCCGGGGTCAACAGTCGCGACCTGCAGGCTGGAAGGAGCCAAGACTTCATGTTGGATCTTTCATGAACAGCAAGAGACTGAAAGAAAGACAAAACGAGGCTAAGGCCAAGGCAGCAGGTCCCAGTGCAAAGAGCAGAGCTCCCGCAATCGCCTTCTCAAGCTGAGGGTCAGGAAAAACACTCTTCTGGATGACTTCCGCTTGCGGTCTTGAGGATTTGGAGCTTCTTTGGTAGAGATTCGCCGAGTCCCTGTGGTGCCTGCAGATCACCGAAAGTGAGCAGGTCTTGTTTCCATCGTTTTGTGCCGTCAAAGTCTGGGCTGTAGCTGGAATATTAACAGGGGCCTACCCCTGCCGCGCCAACATACATGGAAACCAATACTCAGACTGCCAACCCATCTGTTCATGGTAAGGCTCCCGACGAAGGAAAGGCTGTTGCAAAACACTCTGAGGACTTGCACATCACACTGAACAAGGCAACTTTAGATGAGTTTTGGTAACAAGTTGCCGCCTCTGTAACTTGGTCTGCACACCCTCGAGCTACACGGATCGACTTTGCCCCCCGACCCCCTGCCGCTGCTGAGACCGACAGATGTAAAGAAAAAGAGAGTCAACAAAAATTTCAGCCCAGAATACACGACGACCCCCTGTGCCTTGCTGACCATGTGCGACGCCCTCTGAGGCTACGGCCATGTGCCGCTGTGCACCCGAAGGACCGCACCCAGCACCCAAGGCTGCCGATAGCGGGCTGTGACAACTGAACTGGACTGCTCATTACATCGTTGCGAGTTGCTGACCTCATGACCTCGGCTCAGGTTTCAGTTCTGGTTTGTGACTGGTGCCTGCTGTCGCACAGCTGCGAAACATGAGCCCTGGGTTTGAATTTTCTTAGCTGTCTGTGGCGCTTTCAACACTCTCTGTCTTGCTGAGCATAAGTCTGACACGGCAACGTCGGAGCAATAGTGGCAGTGGCGTGGGGCAGTCGTGTGCCAAGAAGATCAGACTGTCTGCACATGCCGGCAGGACCACCCAGTAAATCCGGGACTCCAGAAACCAGCAGGATCCATGTCATCATCCAGAAGCAGCGGGTGCCTCTTCACTCACTAGACTCATCTTCAGTTCCATCAGATCGTTTCATCTGGGGCTTGCGCTGCAGAGGATGCACAGCCAGGTTGTGGTTGTACAACGTGAAGACCTCGTCTCCGGCCTGTCCGCTTCAAAGGCCACTTGCATCGCAAGAGTTGGAGAGACTAGCCGCTGGATATCACCCGGTGCCTCAGTGAAGTAGGAATGTCCCTTGGTCTTCCAGGCCACGTTGTGCTCCACTCTCGCGAAATCGGTGGAGTGCACCACCTTGGAGAGAGATTCTGTAGGCACCGAAACAAACATCGAACCGGCATCAAAGGCCCAGCTACAGATCGAAGTCTGAGGACAGCTCTACTGCTCGCTGGAAGGTCCGGTGGTAGGAGTTGTTGCGCAAGTAAGCCTCCAAAGAAGCAGGCATTTCTCACTGTGCTGCACCGGACCTTCGCAATTCAGCGCCAGGCAATGTCGGCCACGTCCACGGTTCTGTGGGGGGACAGCACGTGCCAGTGGGAGGAGTAGCGTCCGAAGTTGGCTGCCTTCATCAGCTTGTGAGCAGTTTTTCAACGAACCAATCACTACTCAACGCCCTGCCTGTCCGGACCGGGTAATTTCGGTATTCTCGATTCGCATAACACCACCATGGAAGGCACCAACATGGACCCCGAACATGTAGGCCTGCAGGCTCCACATCAACAGCAGCCACATGCAGCCACTGAGCAACCAACAGCACAGCTCTCAAGCTCAGCCCCCAGCATTTCCATAACCTAGTGACCTCTCATCACCTTGTACCTCGACAGCTGACGAGCTTGTGTTAATACTGTCCATAGCAACTAGTACCCACGTCCCTGCCTTCACATTCCGGTTCAAGCGTCCCACTCCTGCACCTCAGCCAATCAACTACCTACGACGCATCAACTTTGGGTACCATGTCAACTGCAGGCTCCGACGCAGATCCGTCGGGGTGGGAATCTCATCATTGAAGTACCTTTGCCCATGACTGTAGGAACATGGCGAACAGCGCTGACAAGTCCTGCTCGTTGCTGGCAGCTCAATGTCTGACATGCTGTGGCCCACGCCAAATTCCCAAGTGCTCCCATCGTAAGGGGCTGTCCAACTCCACAGTGTAGCCTTGCAAGAAGCATCCTACTCTCAGCCTGCTTCCGTCTGAACGCCAGGAGCCAGGCCATCATCCTGAACGCTCTTCACCATGCGAACCTGCCCGGAGATTGCAGCTACAGGCTTAAGGATTGTTCGGAAAGCCTTCAGAAACGATTGCCTCGTCCTGACCCCTGTTGCTTGGGGTGATGATCATCTCCGTTCCAACTTCCCAGTCCACGGGCTCCTCGAGCTTAAGGAGGGTAGCCCCTGCACTCGCTGTCTCCACCAGTCGCGTCCAGGAAACACTTGGGCGGCCATGTAGCTCCATCCTTCCCACCAGCTTTACCGGACATGGGTCCACGTAGTGCTTCCCGCGTGCCGAGAGGCGAACGGTCATCTGGTGGTTGGCAGCGCAGGTTCCGAATCCTCCAAGGTCTGTGACGGCCAGCATCTTGGAACCGATGACAGGAAGCTCAATGGTGTGCCAGCGATCTCCGTGCAGTGTGATCGTTGCCTGGTTCAAGAATGGCGCCTCTTCACTGCCTACCCAGAAAGTTCCTCCAGAAATCCAGATGTAAGTTGCATCTAATTTCAGATCCTTTCTGTCGAACTCGAAGTAACCACTGATGAGCAACAAAAAGAGTTGCGGCGAGTCCTGATCCAACATAATTGCTTGACCTTCGGGCACCACAACGCTGTCACCGTCGACGGGTGGTTCTGATTCTAACCAGCTGAAGACGTTGCTCCACCTATCAACATACCTGAACACGGTGTCCTCTGCCCTTTCGGAAATGATGGCGTATCCTCTTCCGGCTAGCCACAGCACTGTCGAAGGAGGCTGGATGCCGTTGTTTCGCTCGCTTGTGATGCAGCTGAGTGCAGACATATTGCTCTCCTGTGGGATGCAAGGGTATGTATTCAGCAATATCTGGGCATTCTCTGATGTCACCGACGCCGGCGAACCCGACGAGTCCAACGGCTCGAGCCCTTCACCCAAAAGAGTCACGAGCGTATCACCGCGAGCGGTGCCACGCTGCGGAGTCATGGATGACAGGATGGGTGTTCGCTCCAAGCTGTAGGACAGCTGCACTGGAAGCCATGCGGATCCACCTGTAGTATCAGGATCTTGGTAGCTCATGCTCGCAAGCTTTCTTACTAGGTGATGATGTGCAGACGTCTAGTCCTTTACACCGCCTAGAAAAAAAGCGTTTGGATGCCGAGCGCCTGTGGAGGAAGCCAACGGATGTGAGATGTGCTCTACTTCGATCGGACAAGCACTCGCATCGCCGGTGTTCAGCAAGATGCCCCTGAAGCGCACACCTCTCATCAGCTCACCGAGGGAGCTGCAGGCATCCGGAAGGATTCGCACGCGGAATGCTTGACCTATGGCGGTACCATTTGGCCCAGAACCATTCACGGGGTAGGAAGTCCACCCTTGCGCGATGGACCACCCTGTCTGAACCGTGTCTCTCACACTCCCAATCTCCTCCCACGAAATATTGCCAGAAAAACTACGCATTTCAAACACGGACTCTGCCACCTTCTGCCTCCTGTGTGGATCGGTCGGAGGGAAAAAGTCAACTGCTGTAATGATGGCTTCTTTACTTGGTGGCAACTCGAAAGCAAACCAACAGTCGCTGCGTGTGTTCGGCAGATCTACTTGTCTATCCACGGTCGACGTGAAGGCCAAACGAGCATAAGTGGATTCTGCTTCCCCACGATCCGTGTAAAATTTCGCAGCATAAGGTGCCAAGTCAACTGTGGGAAAAGAATCTGGCTGGGCGTCCACCAGATCAAGATTGGTCATTGCAGGCACAGTGCAGGTGGCAGAGGACCCATCACTTGTGCTCACCGGGCAATCCTCCCCACAGACCGATATCTTGGTCTGAGCAGCGGCGAAGCCGAGTCCAGTCCCGCGGACAGTCATGTTCACGCCGCCACCGAAGCCGCTGTGGAGCACGCCTGTCGGGGTAGCTGTCGTGTTCGTAACCCAAAGCCACACGTTTCGCGATGTCTCACTGGTGTAAGAGCATGAGCCAGCTCCGGGGGCGAAGGCATCCGTCCAGCCTGCGCCAACTGCGGCTGAGCCCTCACCCCGCAGACCAATTCCAATGGCAGCGTCGGCTTGAGACTCATCGCGGCATGTCTTGCTTGGGCAGTTGGCGCAGTAACCCCAGCGTGCCCTGTTGTTTCCTGGACATTGCACATTGAAACCGGGCATGAGCATTGGGCAGGACCTGTACGTGCCAGGCTTTGCGCCAAGGGCCTGAACCATTCCCGCTTGGTCTACTGTGTGGTCACGCACATAGCCGGCTGAAAATAGCTCTAAGGCGCTGGACCAAGGTGTATCGAACTTATGGTGAACACAATGGCCGTGCGCACTGCCAACACAGGCACGCAGTCGTGTGAAGGGGACATTCAAGAAAGCCGGGTATTTGGCATTCACCGGCTCCCCTTCGGGCGAGTCTTCGTTGAGGAGCTCAACATTACCCCAAAGCTCCGAATCATACCCTAGAAGGCCCCCGTCAGCAAACTTCATGATGAGCACCCATGGATCGGCAGCAGAATCCGTGGATACAGAGTTGTCGTTTGCCTCAACCGATGAAACATTCAGGGGCACCCAAAGTAAGTACGGTGCCGGATTCGACCAGCCATCCGCTTCAGAGTACAATCGAACTTGCCATGAACCGGACGGGAGCTCTGGACGATCGCAAACAACCCTTCCTTCAGTCCAGCTTGTCGGCACACACTGGAAGTTGGTGTCTGGATTGCTTGCTGTCCCAATAGCGACTTTCCCCGGCGATGAACCGAAGCGGTAACCCTCCAAAACCAATTCAGTCGGAGATGACTCTGTCAGGTTTTCGATGGTGGGCGCTGTGATTGGGCGATCGTACATGTAGGACAACACCGGTGCCTCTTGGTATCTCGCATGACTTAGTACGGTCGGTGGCACGACAATTATTTGACCACCTGTGTCTGGTCCCTGGTACTTGAACACACAGCCACTGCTCCCACTGGCCTGAAAGAACAACACAGACACTGTATGGATGCTGCCACCCTGTAGTAGCGTCTCTGTAGTGCTGCGCTCTCGGAATCCATGAAGCCCGTCATTGTCAATCACGAGTGCCCCATTCAAGTACAGCAGGCTGCCATCATCCGAACCGAGGTAGAACGTATAAAAGCCTGTAGCCTGAATGCTCAAAAAGCCGGTCCACCTGACAGCATATTGGTAACGAGATGGTAGACCCTCCCACTTGTCATCAGAATCCGGGAAGTTCACCGTCAGATCCACGCGTTCGACGTCAGGAATTCGGTCGTTCAAGTTGGGGAATGTGCTGCCCTGACCGAAGAAGAAGTATTCGCCCCACAAGCCTGGTTGTCGAGGCTGTGCCGGCGTGACCACGTGGACGGTGACATTTTGCGTCCTCGCACTGTCATCTGCATCCATAAGTTCAGCCGGAGCAGCTGGCACGTAGCAGAGGAGCTGATCATGAGAAGCTGAGAAAATCTCACACGGCACCTTGCCGATGGTTGCTTGATTTGTCGATGGGGTCGGGCCAAAACCGGCCCCGGTGATGTTTGCAACCGTCCCGCCGAAGAAGGACCCGCTGCCTGGCATGATGGAAAAGAGCTGCAGGAATTGCTGGAACTTGAAGGCTGCACCTGTGTGAGGCGAGGCCTGAGCAGCATACCCTGAACTCGTCAAGACATACACCGGGACATCAGAAGCTTCGAAGGCGCAAACAGGGAGGGTCACCACCCATGTGTTGCTTTGTGCTCCGGCACTGATGCTGGGATTCGGGCACTCATGCACACCAAAGAAAACCTGCAAATTGTCAGGCATCTGCTGGCTGGCAAGCGTAATCGTCACAACAACACCTTCCGCGTAAGAACCATTGCGAGGAGTCACAGATGTCACCACCGCTGTAGACTCATCCGTCAAATTTAAGCCACAGCCGTCCCCAACTCGGCAAAGTGGTCGGACACCATGTAGAGAGAGGCGAAGAAGAAGTCTTTCAGTAGTATCAACAGGGTCCGGAGGCTCCTCCTCTTCTTCCTCGGCATCGGTCGAGTTTGTGTCATTGTCGTCATCGGCTGCCAGCCTCCTCAAAGTCCAGCCAACTTTAGCTTGCCTGCTTGTCGCCACCTGCCCGCCGATGCAGCATCTGTCTTACTGCTAGTGCTGCGTACTTCCTAGTCTATTATGATTCTATTATGCATAGTCGGGAAATGGTATCAGCAACGAAGTAAGCACAAAGGCCTGAGAGTTCTAAAGGGCTGGGGTGCATTTTGCGCTCCAAGTGCTGGGGTTGTTTCAGCATAGTGATGCACTGCAATCTTTACGATTTGTATTCTCGACTCGTTCTAGAGAAATGAGGTGGGCAAAGGGAGAAGCACACAAGCACACATCCGCGACGTTCTCCGTTTTGTTCCGTCAGTGTCCGTAGCAGACGACATTGAGTCGGTGGAAGTGCTGGCGTTGGTCCTTGCTCGCCGTCTGCATCTGCAGCACCGTCTCAGACAGCGGAGCGGGACAGGGCATGCCCAAGTGTTCTTTTGCAGTCGCCTTGACGGCTTTGATTCTCGCGGATGGGTGCAAGGGCAAGGACATTCGCCTCCTTCGAAAGAAGGGCAGCACCCGAGCACCAGGCCTCTGTATGTCTCGTTCCACTGCTCTTCAAATCGTTGCTGCTGCTGCTCGGTTATGTACTGCACAAGGCGCTGCACTGACCAAAGCAGCAATGCTGCTCCGAAGTAGAAAACAATAAAGGCCCATCTCGCTGTTGGGACAGCTACTAGGACCACCAAGAGAGGAAGTAGAACAGTTCGCTGAACCCTGCGCTGCTGAAACCATCTCCGTTGCACAACCCCTACCCGCAGCATCACGTCCAGCGCAATGAAACCAGCTAGGCCAAGCAGGCAGGTCGCAATGCCTCGGACATCCGCTCGCACCAAAAGCTCCGTCGTCACTGCAAGGGTACCCGCAACACCGCGCCACACGAGTTCGTCGGTGTCCAACATCTGATAGACCCTCGCAAACCAGACCTGCTGCGCAGAGATCGTGTCTTCCATCCCGATCGCTTCGAGGAACCATCGTACAAACTTTCCAAAGCCAAGACAGATCCCCAAACATCGAAAAACCACGACGCAACGCAAAGTATTTGCCAGCAGCTGTGTCGCACACTCTCTCGTAGAGCGGTAGTAGAAATCAAACCATCGCATTTGCCTGCCAGTCCAGTAGGTCCAAAATTCGAACGTGTCCTGGGAAGGGCGTAGCCGCGGTTTGGTATGCATGGGCACCTGCATATTGTATGACACGAGCCTGGCACTTGCGGCACTTACCTGCTGAGATATAACCGCCATGCAGCAAAGTAGTCTGTTTCTTCTTGGCAGTCGCGATTCCACTGCTCTTACCAGAACGAGGAGCAAAGCATACGCCACGGCAAATGGAGGGACGATGAGAGTGGATGCCAGGTAATGGATCAGCAGAGCATTTGGCAGTGTTCGCAGAAGAAGAAACAGGCTGTCGGAATCTGTCACGATGGTGCGGACCCAGGCATCCATCAAAAGCTTCCAAAAGTTATCTTCGTTGCTGCAGCTCGCCATGAGGGCATCCTTGAAGTGATAGAAAACGAGCGTGTCAGCCCAGGCAAGCCACTCTTGCTGTTTCCGGACGACTGGGCAAATGTCAGATCTAAACAAATACCGGCTGTCAACATAATCCTTCAGGCCCGTGACTATCTGGTATGACGCGATGCAGATAAGCATCTCATCTAGCAAAGGGGTGACTATTCGAAGCCCCTTCCCCTCTCCTTTCACTATGATTTCCAGAGAGTGCAGCTCGTTGCAGCCCCCTGGATGGTGCCAGCGTCCAGAACATCCCCAGCAAAAGGCGGCCTCACAGTCCACGCAAAAGAGATCGGCCTCCAGGCCGGCGTTGTCTCCGCACTTGTCGCACCAAACGCCTTCGTAGCCCGCTTCGTAGCCGGCTTCGAAGACATCAGCCCCGGAAAGTAACGAGAAAAGGGCGCTGAAGCCTTGAAAGATTCCTTTGTCCTCAGATTCTTCAGCCCCTTCCTCCCATTCCTCTGCCTCTGACCATGCAGTTCCCATGACGATGAGATGCTGTGTTTCCACAGCATCCAAAAAGTCAGAAAGAGCTGAGCCAAGACGAGGACAAAGGCAGCCACACATGTAGAACTCTGCAGCATGCATGCCACGACTCTGGCCCGAAGTGCCTTGTGTACTCTCGCTCGAAGGTGGCCCAATCGGAAGTCTTCTGCCTGCACAATTAGAAAGATGTTGACATGCGTCTCCAGACCGACATGGACAGGGAGAGCAAGCAACAGAATGGGCTCACGAAAGTCACATCCGAAGATCAAGCAAGCAGAACAACGTCATTCAGCAATACATTCACGGGCATGCAACCGGACGGTCTCCCGCGACATGGACCGGGAATTGGAAATGGTCCAAAAGATAGAGAGAGACCTGCTTAAGTCGCATGCTTTACCTCCGGTCTTCCCTGTTTGGCATCTTTGAAGGCTGAAAAAGCGCTCTGGAACCCACGTGGGCCGCTGCATGATTGCGAGGAAGAAACTCAAGGAAAACCACACAGTATTCCACTTTGCCACAACCCAAGACAGGTTCGCAGTTGGAGCGAGGAGCCCCGGTTCTCTGAGCCTCGTCGCTTTCGACTCCCCATCGTCGAAGCCCCTGTAAGCGGGCATGTAAGCACCAGTGTGAAGAATTGGGTATTTTCCTCTGGGCGCCCAGCTACGAAGTCTGAAGAAGCGGGCTGTGCAGAAGCTTCCATTCGCCTGCTGCCAGAATTCAAGCACAAGGCGGAAAGTCAAAGAGGGAAATGGCCTGGCCACCTCTCCTTCGTAAGTGTCAGGGCCTAACGCTCTGATGAGCAACGCTGTCACCGCTCGTGTCTTGGGCCAAGACCGTGCACGAAATCCTCTGCTCCAAGATCTGGATCGCTGTTGTCCACGAAATCCGGAGCGAGCTGCTGATTGGCGCCTGACAGGCTTGTGGAAGCTAGAGTCCCCGGAACGTTTGTTCGACGTTTCGAAGCATCCCCAGCCCTTGGACTTCAAGATGTCCAATCTGCTGCAGAAGTTACACAGACTGCGCATCGGTGTCAACTCAAGCAATGAGAGATCTCCGAAGGATCCCGCGACAGAATGAGCGGCATACTTGATTCAAATTCAGGGGCGTGTGACTCGCATGCAGACGATTTGAGTTGCGAAGCTTGCAGCCCCACGCCTACCGACACAGTATGTGTACGCTGCGTACGACATAGTGAAGCTAAAAAGTCAGCAAAGCTCACGCTCACGAAGCCTGTTTCCTCTGCTCGCCGAATGAAGTCTAAGGCCTCGTCGACCCGACCTGGCGCTGCAGTTCGGACCCCAAGTGGACTGTCTGATCGGACTACGTCGGACTACGTCACGCCATGGGATGCGTTTGGGATTTGGCGAAGAGCGGCGCGGATCACAGCCGAAGGCTCATGACTGCACTCATCACTCACTCGATGCCTCTCCTGGGCACAAAGAAGCCACCTCGAACCCTTTGTCGTTGTTGTCAGGCATCATAACTATCATAACCCCTATAAAGTCCTGAACACTCCCTCGGGCCTGACATCGTGTTGGAGGGCAGCGAGCGCAAGCTCCCGGACCGGGCCAGCGCGAACGCGAAGCAGCGGACCTGGCAGAAGGCACCGTGAGGCCGAGCAGTCTGTGTGGGCCACAACGGCCCCTTTCGGAAAGCCTTGGAGTGATCATCAGCCCCTGCTTGACAGCGCAGCTCTTTGTTTCCACTTGGCCTTGGAAGCACCGTGCAAGTGGAATGACATCAAAATTGAGGGCTGCAAATACATCTTACGTTGTCGCTAGCCAAGACCAACTTATCCGATGCGAAACCATTGCTTTTGAAAGGAGATCTTTGAGCCGACATTGCGGCACACTCTCTGGGGGTTGCACCTGTCTGACAATCGCCGCATGAAGCCGTTGTCAACCGGACCCCCGCTTCCAGCATCACTGTCTTCAGATGCCATGGAGGCAAGACCTGCTGCCGTGGCACCTTGACAAGCACAACACGCAATGGCAAAAAAGATGCGGCACCAGGAAAGCACATAGTGCCAGCGACGGTTCGGAGCAATCACTATTTCATGAGGGAGAACTTGCGGTAATGTTCTCAGAGCACATCTTCCTACAGGAGCAGTGGCTATCGGCTTCTGCCGCATGCTCGTGGTGCTGCTTTGCAGCACCCTAGTGACATTGGCGGCAATGCACCAGCCTACAAGTCTACAAGCCTAAAAGCCACATTCTTACAAACAGAAGATTGCTGCTCAATGCCACGAATACAGGCAGTTGCGAATCCTTCTACACGGCAAGCAGGGTCTGCGCACGCCGCTGAACCTACTGCAGCCAGGCAGACCGCCTGTCCGAAGATTTCGTAAACATGTTCAAGGCCTTCTAGCCTTGCGTCATCTTGCTACGAGAGGCATCCGTCTTGAACGGACTGCTCCCGAAGCGGACTTCAAAATTGCAAAGAATTGACAGAAACACCAAAGTCTACCCGATGTCAGCACGACAAAGTCACAAGGGCACACGCCAAGCTGCGATAGTGGCCCCATCTTCGCCGTGTCCCCAGCTCAGGCTGCCCGTTGTCTGGAGACACCTGCACCAGAGCAGCGACTTCAAGCTCTGCGACAGCAGTCTCCGGCTTGCCCCCTGGTTGGCCTTCTGACCGCTGGGGTATTCGGACCAAGGATGCCCGATCTTTGCCACCAACATGAGGATGATGCTTCTGTATATGCTGCCAAGCAGAAGCCTGAAATGTCGAAGCACCGACTTACGTTGCACAGATTCGTGCGGCACAGTACGGAGTCCAAAGGTAGCCTGCCTTGATCGGGGGCAACGAAGACGGTGTGCCTGGCTCCCGCGGGTGCCCAGTCCAAACCGACTTGCATGGAAACCCGGCTGCCTGCCGGTCCACTCAACTTGCCATTCTCGAACATCATCTGCTCCTAAGCTGATACAAACTGAGGCATCACAAACATCACAGCTCTTTGCAAGCAGGTCACAATGGCTGCGGCCTGCGTCACAACGTGGCACAGTCACGATTCTATGCGCAGAGAAACTGCTGCAGGCATGGATCTGGCCTGCAGATTTGCCATGGAGGGCGGCCTCCGTGGGTTACAGCCCACCACAGGCACCGGGTACTCCCCGCGCCCTGTTGGGGCACTGCCCATGAGGGCAGAGGGCGCGCTCTTCAAGCCTTCACTCGCGGCTGCCAAGGCATGGAAAGTCTGACAGCATGCACTGTCTTGGAAGGTTGGCACATGTTGGCACGGCCTGGCTTCTTGATGACACGCGTGATCCGCGGGGTTCCCAGGGTGTCCAGATGCCTCGAGTATTTGTTATTCTGGGTTTGCTGTCGTCCGCGGGCTATCCGGATGGTCCCGCGCCGCTCGTCGCGAAAGGCCACCCAGTGCTATACGTAATCATCGATGAGCTGAGGCGCTTCGAGTAGTAATGCACAGAGGGTCCCTGAGCTGCACCCACAAAACCCGATGCACACTGCCACTCACAACGGCACGCTGATGATCTGCACAGCACTGCGATGCCGCATCCATTCATCCATGCTGCTTGGTTTGGCACAGCGGCAGGGCCCTTTCCAGATATGGAAGCACAATAGACGTGCCTGCATCAAGCAAGCACTTTCCAAGCGACTTCGTATTCGACCTAGGACCTAGTCAAGGACGGCTGTGCAAAATCACAGCGCACTCCTGCGACAAGCTCGGTCTGCATCGGCGCCCACCAACGGCCGCACTTCGGGGACGACGCGGGGCAGTCGGACAGACATGTCACATGGTCAGCACATTGCAGATGCAAATCGATGTCTGCACGGGTTGCTGCAATTACTTGTGTGAAGTTCAATGTCACTGGCTGTCGCAGCATAGGGTAGCTGTCCCATGCGAAGCAATGAGTGGCAGCCATAACACGTGCATGGCTTTCTCATAGGCAGGGGCTAGATAAACCAGAAAGTCTTCGCTACACGTTGAATCTCGGTACTGTAAAGCCGCAGGCACATGTAGCTCCAGGCCACCCAAGCACCAAAAAGCGCAGGTACCTCCACAAAAGCTTGGAGCTGCACCTCCTTGCAGCCGGCATTGGATTTCGGTCTGGCTTCCACCCAAAACCTGGGCAAAGTACTCAGGGAAGGTCCCGAAGGGTAGACCACTTCGCGCGCCTCGCAAGGACGGGACACACCGGAAGGCAGCTCGAAGGTCACCTCGGATGTTGCGGGCATGCGGGGAATGTGGCATGGCGGTCCGCGACTTCAGGTGCACTAAGGCTGCCGTAATCCTCTCTGAGTTCTGAGTCAAGGACTGTATGCCTGTTGGCCCCCAATGGGTGGAAGCCTGCGCCCGTGATGGTGACGACCACACCTCCAGCCTGAAACAGTTGCATGCAGTCTACCCACTGTGTAAATCTCATCAAACATCCGGCCTTCGAAGCACTCGTTGGACTGATTGCTGTGACCTGTCAGCTGGCAAGCTGTCACTCCGTCACTCCGTTCGAGCAGAAGGCAAACATGCCAACATCCGGTCTCTGCCTCGAAACGCGACTCGAAGGTCACCCCAGGAGGCACTGCTGCAAAGCCTTTTCCAGGTATCCAGGCCTGACTGCTTGACGAGGAGCTCAGCATTGTTGAGATCGCGGAAGATCCAGGGTCAGTGCGCTTGGAATGGTCACGGCCTCCTCTGGTGGAGTCGGTGCAGCCTCGGGCAGTGTAGCTCACGCGGGCACCGAGTCACTCTCTATGCGGACACATGTGCCGACACATCCCTAAACTCCACTCTGCGTGGCAGCGGGCCCTCTGAAGCCAGATGTCCAAGCTTGCACTGGCCTTCAGTGGTTTCGGCGCCTACGCTGCAACGCCTTGAATGATGCTCCAGCCTGTCCCGTCACTGTAGCCGTCCGCGGTCCAAAGCCCACCACAGGCAAAGCCTTCGACTCTCTCTCTCTCTCTCTCTTTTTCGCTCCATCTCTCTCTCCCTCTCTCCCT